TGCGGAGGTGCGTAACGAGGTCAGCGACTGTGGGAAAGGCAGCAAGGTCAGGAAAGAGGTACGGTAGCATGAGGCGGCTCAGTGCAGCAGTGGCAGGGGAAGAGTAGCGCGCAACTACAGCGTCGTATAAGGTCTGAGCACTCTTGTACTGACTAAAGTGCGCGCGCTCAGAGGTAGGCAGGTGGCGACGCACAGAAAGACGTGCAGCAGCATCGCGCGTGGCCCACTGGGAGCGAACAGTGGGGTCAGCATCAGCAGCAGGGGCAGGAGAGGCGCCAGAGGTGAGGTCAAAGAGGGAGAGACCGTCTGCCCTATCGCACTGTAAGAAGAGCTGCAGGTCATCCACCCAAACCTCAAAGTCAATGGCTCGACCCTCAGCGTCAAAAGCGAGAACACTAGGGGAAGCCATGACAGCAGTAGACTAGCGAGACCAACTGTAGGACAGGGGCAGTGCAGTGACAGAAGCGCTGGTCTCACTAGACAGGGCAAGTCGGGCAGCTCGGTAGTGCACTAACACGGCAACACGGCAACACGGCTGCTCGGACGGCTCAGTAGCGACTGCGGCTCCGCGGCACCGGCGACTTGGCTGATCAGGCGGCTCGGGCGGCTCGGGCGGCTCGGGCGGCTTGGGTGGCTCAGGCGGCTCGGGCGGCTCGGGTGTCTCGGGCGGCTCGGGCGGCTCGGGCGGCTCGGGCTGTTCTGGCAGCTCGGGCGGCGCGGGCGGTGTAGGGCGGCAGGGCTGCTGGTGAACGGTGGCGGGGCCGCTGAGTAGGGCGGCGGGGCCGCAGGAGTAGGGCGGCGGGGCCGTAGGAGTAGGGCGGCGGGGCCGCAGGAGTAGGGCGGCGGGGTTGCAGGAGTGGGGCGGCGGGGCCGCAGGAGTAGGGCGGCGGGGCCGCAGGAGTAGGGCGGCGGGGCCGCAGGAGTAGGGCGGCGGGTTCGCAGGAGTAGGGCGGCGGGGCCGCTGCAGAAGGGCGGCGGGACCGCTGCAGAAGGGCGGCGGGGCCGCTGAGTAGGGCGGCGGGGCCGCTGCAGAAGGGCGGCGGGGCCGCTGAGTAGGGCGGCGGGGCCGCTGCAGAAGGGCGGCGGGGCCGCTGAGCAGGGCGGCGGGGCCGCGAGGTAGGGCGACGGGGCCGCGAGGTAGGGCGGCGGGGCCGCGAGGTAGGGCGGCGGGGCCGCGAGGTAGGGCGGCGAGGCCGCGAGGTAGGGCGGCGGGGCCGCGAGGTAGGGCGACGGAGCCGCGAGGTAGGGTGGTAGGGCCGCGAGGTAGGGCGGCGGGGCCGCGAGGTAGGGCGGCGGGGCCGCGAGGTAGGGCGGCGGGGCCGCGAGGTAGGGCGGCGGGGTCGCAACGACGCGCGGCGGGACCGAAGCGACGGGCAGCGGGGCCGAAGCGACGTGCGGCGGGGCCGCTAGGGGAAAGGGCCGCTAGGGCGGCTCGACGAGGTGAGAGCCCGAAGTGCGACTCGGGCGGAGCGCGCTTCGGGCAGGAAAAAAAAGGTCGATGTGGTGGGCCCTAGGCACAGTTCCCACGGGGGAACCTGCTCGATACCATGCGAAGATGTGAACGAGAGTGAATGACTAAGGAATGGAAGTGATACAAATATGCAACCCTAGAAATGTGTACCCCATATGGGCTACCCCACTATAGCCTACACAATATTATAATTTGACAGATTCGACGTAATTCGCGTCGAAGAAGACGTTCATCGTGAAGACCCACGATTGAACCGTCGGACCTCCTCGCTGGCTCGGGTCGAAGCAGAGCGGGCGTTGCGGCTTGAGTGGCATTGGTGCCATGATGGCCTGTTCGCCACTTGTCGCCGCGAACTCCACGTGCCGACGGGCTTCGCGAGGCTCCCGCGGGCTTGGTGCGACCCTGTTTCCTCCCCTGCCAGGCTTCGGCTGGGCGGCACCATCGCTGGCTTCGCCTGAGCGCTGTCCCACGCCGTTGTTTTGTGTTGGTGTGCCGGACGAGATGACGATCGGCTCGTCCGATTGTGCAGATGCATTTGTCGGTGCGTGTGGTGGCGTTGGAGTGTTCATCGTTGATTGCTGACGCGCGGAGTCACGTTCCGCCGTGAGCGTCGCGATTTCGAGCGCCGAATCTTCAAGTTGGCGCACCAGACGATCGAGCTGCTCCTGCGTCAATGTGGCGAGCGTGAATTCGGCCATGGCGGGGGTGTCGGGCGAGCTCAGCAAGAGCCTTGGTCGTGGTCGTGCGTGCTTACGAGAGAGCACTACGAGCGGCGGTGCTGTGTTACTGAGAGACGTCTACCCCCCCCCCCCCAAAATTGAGATAGTGGGGAAGCGAAGGTGTGGGTGCGGTCCGAGAAGAGATCGTAGGCTATGAATACCAAGTGTTACGAGTGCAATTGAGTGAACGAACGAGAATTGCACTATCGAAGCAAGTGTACAATGAGCGAAGGCATGAGCGAAGACTATATAGCGAAACTACAGTGGTAACGGTAATGGACTGTGGTTGTCGCGTGACGGGCCTGGGACTGAGGTTGGGAAAAGTGTCGAAGCGGAGGCCCGGAGCGCGGGTTACCCGCCGAGCCGTGAGGTCGGGGTGCGACGTGCGAAGGTGGCGGGAGGATTGTCGATGTGAGGGTTGCGAGTGGTAACGGTGCTGATTGTGGTGCTACAGTGATGTACGCGTTGAGCAGGGATGCGAAGTAAGGAAAAGGAATTTTCCTTATAGCTTCCCATATTGCCCCTTCGTATCTGTGCCCAATAGCAGCTTCAGGTATTCCCTCAAGTATTGGGAACATGGGTAGAAGTTCCGTAAACCCTCAAACATAGGACTTGGGGGGGCTTACCTACATGCTATATGCAACAGGTGGAAATGTGTAGATATACTAATTGTTGCACAAAGTGTTCAGGTACCTACTTGCTATCCCCAACAACATGATTTTGTGAAACACCTCTAGAAGAAACATTTCTGTGGCATGGTGAACGTATTTATTCAAAGCCATACTGGGTTTACACATTCATCTACACCTCGTTAGTTGATGCATAGGAATCCAGCGCTGTAGGCCCTAACCAGTTCACGAGATGTACTTGTAAAGTGGACTTTCAAGAATGGAGGCAAGCTGGCGGTTCTTGACCAGCACAAAAAAGTCGGTGGTCAAGGAGGATGCGATTCTTGGCACCTGGCGCAAATGGGTGTGACGACATTCGCAGCTGGCAATCGCCGTTTCGTTATCGTTTTCTCCAACTGCGACTCGTTCGTCGGATAAGAGGTGTCCATCCTCTTCGTGTAATAGCTCGCAGGGATTCGTTCATCGTGCACTTGCGTTGCGTCGCACAGATCGATGGCGACGTCGTAAAATTCGCAACGCGGCGTGCCACGGTGGACCGTGCGGTGCGAAAAATCGCGCCGTCGTGCGAAATGTCTAGTTGCAATGCCTTCTGCTGAAGCCTCCTCTCCATTCACCCTCACCACGACATTTGATTCGAACATTTGCTGCCTCTGGCGTTATTGTTGAGGGTATTTCCTAGCTTCGTGTCATCCCGTCTTCATATCATCCGAAATTGTGGGATCGAATCGAAAAATTCAAATCTATTCGAATATCGAACCGCGGGTTTTCCTTTTGGCTCTCAAAATTTTAGAATGACACGAGCAGCGGATGACATGAAGCTAGGAAGTTGCCCTTAGGAGGGGGGCTTTCGGCGAGCCAACACAACTGCACGGAAAAGCTCCACCGCCATACCCATTACAGCAGCAAGACAGCATCAACATGACACGGCAACAAGTCACGGCCTCCTTCCACGGCGAAGCATGCAAACTACTGTACTTTCCCCTCCCCTCCCGTCTCCCATTCCGACTTTCTTCTATGTACACACTTCGACAGCCTTTCCACCCCCCCCCCCCCCCCCCCCCCCCCGCACTCCCTCCTCCCACCCAACAAACCCTAACACCAGCACCCTTCCCCACTTCCTTACAATGCGCATACCTTCACACACACACACACACACACACACACACACACACACACACACACACACACACACACACACACACACACACACACACACACACACACACACACACACACACACACACACACACACACACACACACACACACACACACACACACACACATACACACATACACACACACACACACACACACACACACAGACACACACACACACACACACACTCTCACACACACACAAATTTATTTCGCATCGCTTTCAGATTCCAGCTGTCAAACAGCCCGAAGACACGTGTAACGTCTATCCTCCTAGCTAGTGTTGAAAGGGACCCTCGCCCTTGGTGCCTGAGGGCGGGTCCAGCGCGTACGTTTACAGGTCCTATACAGTTCATTCGTAGTGGTTTGAAAAGATATCAAGCGGTGCACAACGGTTTTGAATTTGCACCGTTTTGAACCGTGACGCAAGACAGATTATCGCACTGGATGAACTGTATTGCACGGAAAACGTACGCGCTGGACCCGCCCTGACTGTGACTGTCGAGTGATATTGTTCGATATGGTTTCCACATACAGTGTATATCCACCTGCGCAGCCAGCTAGCTGTGAATGACATGACTGAGGTTTTTTTTTTGTCACGCCGCGTGCGCCGTGTTGAGCGTTCCTGCAGTCGTTTTACGAGACGCTTCGCGACGACGAGTCACACAACACGTCACGGACTCACGGGTGTGAGAGAAAGAAGAAATATAAAACGCCGAACCGCCGCGCGTTGCCACTCGCGGAACAGTCTCCCTTCTCCCCCCGTCGGCGTGCGCACCTTTTCCAGACTTCCAGGCAACATTGTGATGCTATCCCCTAAAATCCGCAAGTCCGTGCTAGTGGTTCTCATAGATACTACAAGTCGACGCCTTCCACATAACATTTCAGGAGCGCATTACTCAAGGTGTGCGTAATTCCCAGTCCCCGTTACTTTCATAACCCAGCGCTGCCAAATCGCGCAGTCGATCTCGGCACAGCACCCACCCCGCGGCTGATCCCGCTCGGTCTCGCGGCGCGCGCCATCATGTTGCCCTCAATTGGCATGCGTGACTTGTCTGGTAGCACCAAGTCCGACGTTCCCACCAACGCCGCCGACGCAACATCCATCGCCATTACCTCCCAGTCGGAGTTCGAACCTCGTCGGAGCGCGGCGACATCGGGGCCTGAAATGCCTCTTGAGACGTCGCTGGACTCCGAAACGCCTTCTGAGAGGTCCTTGAAGAATGAGACGCCATGGGCTCCGGACTTCCCGCTGTCGTCACCGCGATCGTTCTCCTCCAACGGCTCAACCAGCGAGTTTCCAAATTCGTTCTCCACCGCGCCTTCAAAAGAGGCTTCAGACGAGTTTTCGAACGAGTTCCCCACGTCTCTGACCGACTCGGATTCCTTTCGTGAGCCTACCACGGCTGCGAACGCAACTAGTGGTGGTAACACAATCATCATCCCGTCGCCTCCCCCGGCTGGACCTTCGGGCTTCACTCCCGCGATGCGTCGTTTCGGCGGGTCAGACCTGAGTGGCCTCAGCGGATCATTGGAAGAAGATTCTGGGAGTATTGGCGGCTTCTGTCTGGTTCAGAACCCCAACGCGCCGCGGAAAGCGCCGGAGAAAACAACGGCGGAGGCGGCGAAGAATGCGCCGCGAGAAAATGATGCTGATCACGCCTCGATTGCCGTCGCCGCGTTGGCTCCTACGAATCGCAACAGTCCGAGGAAAGAAGGCGCTCCCAGTCTGAAATGCAGTCATGATGCAAGCCGGACGACAGCTGCTACGACTCGTGCGACAAGTGCGACTGCTAGGACCGATCGTCGGCGACGAGCGGTGAGCGTTGGAGGCGACCTCGACGGCGACTTGGGTCGTGCTGTAGCCTACGACGTTGCAATGTCGCCTCTCTCTCGCATGGGTGCCGCTAGTACAAATAGTAGTACCGCCAACAGCCCTTCAGCTTACCGCATAACCACCAGCAGTCACACTAGCACTACCCGTACTAGTACCCCCTATTCTCCTGCTATTAGAAGTTCCGATACTAGATCTGGTGGTGCGTCTCCTGCCGCCGCTATCTCCCCGCCTCCTTCCTCGAGCTTTCCTGCGACTTCCGTTTTCCTCCCGGCCCTGCTGCGACTGGGAGCCGATCTGAGCGACGACCCCGACGACAGGGAGCAGGTCGTCGCACAGGGGTTCGCCCACGCCCAGGCGAAACCGGCGCAGGGTCGCAGGCACCGTCGCGCGGGGAGCCTGGATGCAATGCTGCTGGCGAAAACGATGGCGGGTGGACAAGGCGTTACTTTCGCGACAGTAGGCGTAGACTTCCGTACTGCGACCACTGGCGGTACGAATGAGGATGCGGGCAGGCATGGCACCACTACTGCTCGTAGCGCAGCAGCGATTGAGGCGGGCAGCATGGCAGGAGGCTCTAAGAAGGACGAGATGATCCCAGAAAAAGCCACGTCTTTCCCAGCCACGTCGGTTTCAGAGGAAAGCAGCGGCAGTGGCACCAGCAGCAGCAGTAGCAGCAGCCGCCATGACCCCACAGGCTTTAAGAGCTTTCAGCCCGTTCCGACAGCCGCTCAGCCTGCCGCTGGCTCACCAAAGCCAGCAGTCTTCGGTTCTGCGCGGTTCAGTGAGTCCTCGGGCTTCAAGGGCTTTAAGTCTGCGTTCCTGCGACTCGGGGACGATTTGGGCGACGACCCGGACGACTGGGATTGGCTCGCAGGCGGGCAGCAGCTGACGTGGAGCAATCCTGGCGGTCCAATGAAGGGAGAGGCTTGCAGAGACGATGACAGCAGCGTCGCTCCTGCCGGCCACTTTGGCCGTCTTGCCCCCCCCATCGCTGCCCCTACTACCACCGCCGCCGTCCCCACCACGCCTGCTCTTCCACCTCGATCCCCAAAACCCGTTGCTGGTCCGGTTGCTGGCGGAAGCCACTCCGAGGGCCAGCAGCAGCGGCAGGGGCAGGGGCAGCAGCGGCGGCGGCAGCAGCAGCACCGCCGAACGCACTCGTGCGACGGCAGCTTGCAGCACGCCACGGCGTCGTTGTTTGAGACGCCTCAAAAGTCGTTCTTGCAGCAACCCACGGCGCCGTCGGTAACCTTCTCTTGCACTGCAGGCTCTGAAACGTTCGAAGGCTCTAATGCGTTTGTGGGGTTGACAAGGTTGTCTTTTGATCAATCCCATGAGCTATCGCCTGGGCTATCCTCTGTGTCGCCTCTCCGAATCATCCCCCCTGCGCGCCCGCCCCGCTCCACCCCTTCTGCAAGGTCCTGGGGCGCCAGAAGTTTCTTTTCTGGGAATTTTTGGGCAGGGGCGCGTGGAGCAGGGGTGAGGGCATGTGAAGAGACGGGGGCTTGAGAATGAGCTCGTGAACGGGTCCGAGAAAGGGCATGGAGAAGGGAAGGAGGGGCGAGGGATTGGAGAGGAAAAGGCGAGGCATAAGGAGAAGAGGGGATCACAGAATGTCGTGTCCTGGGGAGCTCCCATCTGCTGACCTGTTGACCCTGTTGACCAAGAGTATGTTAATCTAGCTGTTGACCCTGTTGACCCTGTTGACACTGTTGACCCCGTTGACCCAATCGGTCCTGATGCTGGTGCTGCAGCTGCTGGCTCATTCAGCTTGGGTACATCGTCTTTTTGCAGCGGAGGTACGGCTGCTGCTGCTACTTATCTTGCTGCTGCTGCTTATGCTGTGGCTGCTGGGTTTCCTCTTGACAGCCTTCGACCAAGTGGTTTGTCGAACCCTTAAGGCATGAAGGGAATCAACGGCAAGGGTAATGGAAGCAGGGGAATGAGGTGCTCTGAGTATTGCCAAAGTCATGGGTGTGAAGGTTCCAATCCAAGAGTAGACAGCATGAAGGCTCGTTGAAAGAGCATTGGTGAGGCATGGCTTATTAAGATGGCAGGTAATTCGGTAACCAGACCCGATCGGCAAGGCATTAGCGGTACGGTCTCAGTATGCCTAGGAAAGGCACTTGCAGTCAACTTTGTAGCAATTGCTGTTTCCATATTTCCTGTACCGTTTTTGGGTGTCGTGCTGAAGTGGTGACACTTAGGGGTTTAGAGTGCAGTGTAGTCCACATTCGTTTGGGGGGTTGTGAAATGTGCAGCACTGGTTTTTATATTGGTGTTCCATAACGAATTCTTCTCGTAGGACTGCGTCAGACAAGAAGTTAGCCTGATAAGGGACCGTAGGAACACGCTTTAAGGTGTACAGAATTGTAAGAATCATACTACAGTAACGGCAGCCTAGTACAGTTGTGTAGTGTGTGCCTTGATCCATGGATGCTCTGAGGGATGAGATGAGAGGGAAGGGCACACGGATGGGGAAGAAGAGGGGATGGGACGTAGGGTGGGGAGGGAAGAAACGTAGGGGTAAAGGGGTAGGGGTTGGAACTAGGGAGGTAAAGGAAGAAAAGGAAGTGGGGGTGTGTGCTGGACACATTGACAAAGAGACAGGACGGATAGGAGATGTGAAAGCTAGAATAAGACGTTTGGATTGACTGAAAAGGAGCGTTGAGGGAGTGACATGACGGGGGGCGAGAACAGGATGAGGGGGAGAAGTTGAGCAGAGAAAGGAAAGGGTTGGGCGGAACACTACTTAGGGGAAGGCAACACGTACCAAGCACAGAATCCAGTGTGATTCTTTCCGCCGGCTCTTTCTTAAGCATCCCTTTTATAAGATCCTTTGCCTTGGAGGATATGGAAGGCCATGGAGGGAAGGAGAAGTTGAGAGGCTTGGATACGATTGCATCCAGCACCCCGGATTCTCTCGAGGCCCAGAAGGGCGGCACGCCAGCCAGAAGCACGTATAGGACGACTCCCGCCGACCAGACGTCGGCCTCGGCACTGTAGCTCTTGTTGATCACTTCTGGTGCCATGTACATGTTGTTGGGCTGAGTGCCCCTAAGGATCTTTGGTAGGGTTAATGATGTAGTAGCGGAAGCGTTAACAAAGAGATTCTGAACCACCTTGCGCTAGTATGTGAGGGCAAAGTAAGTTAATTAAAACAAGGAGATACAAGATTTTATATATGATTACAAGGAATACGAAGAGATACGAATGATAACTGTTTTACTGTTGGCTGTTGCGGTTCGATACAGTGCGACTCGGGCAACTGCTCAATATCGAGTCAGTTGTGTGTCCTTGCTGTCGCGCTGCATTTGTCAAGTCAAAGGTCGCTGACCTTTGACCTTCGCGTAACCTCCAGCTATTGCTTCAACTTCCGAGGGTTGACTCGCTGGTGCCTCGATATGCGTTGCTTCACTTGTGTCTTTAGTGTTTCGACACGACAGAGGCGCTTAGGACCGATTGTTTCCAACACTCCCCTTCGCTTCTGGAGTGTCGATGACGTGGCTCTGTCCAGTCAGCAGCATGCAATATTCGAATTTCTGCTTTCCGAGCTTCTTGGTCAGGTAGTCAGCTGCCATTTCGGACGTGGGGCAGTATGATAGCTCAAGCCTTCCCTTCTCGATCTCGTCCTTCACAAAGAAGTATCGCAGGGCGATGTGTTTCATCCTGTTCGCAAAACCGTTCTTGTTGACGATGCGAATTGCCGACTGGTTGTCGCAGAACAGGGTAAAGTTGGGTAACTCGGCTAACTTCGCTTCTTCCAGCAGCTCGCGAAGATAGAGTCCTTCCTTGGTGGCTGAGCAGAGTGCAATATATTCTGCTTCAGCTGACGAGAGAGCAATTAGTTCCTGCTTGCTCGATTGCCAGGAGATAGGCCCGATAGGCTCGAAGCGATAGATGTAGCCGGTGCGTGATTGTCTGTTGTCGGAGTCGCCCGCGTGATCAGCGTCGACGTAACCGATTAGCTTAGGTGGCGTGGTCGCGTTCTTGTGATATGTTAGGCCGATCGTTGGCGTACTGACGAGATAGTGTAGAGCGCGGTCGAGTTCGGCCATGTGTTTTGCTTCAGGCCTTTTGAGATGAGTGGCGAGCTGGCTTGCGGAGTATGAGAGGTCGGGGCGGCAGGTAACGGCTGCGAAGAGAAGGCATCCTAGCTTTCTCTGGTAGTCGCGTATCCCGGCAGATTTGAGTAGAGTGGATCCTTCCTCGTGGTTTCCTGTCACGTAGCGGTAGGGCGTAGAGATGGTGGTAGGCGTGAGCGTGAAGCGTTTCGCGATGATGTCGGCGTACTTAGTGGCGTTGAGGTAGATCGCATCTTCTTCCTCTCGAATGTTCTGTGACAATGAGAACGAGAATGAATGGACTATGAATAAAGTGGGTACAAGTACTAACCCTAATTGGGTTGTACCCCCTATGGGATACCCCACTATAGCCTACACAAAAGCATAAGCTATAATGATCTGACACACCCCCATAGGCAAAGTGGGGGAGAACAAGGGGTCACAAGACCAGTCAAGCAAAGTAAAGCAAAGCAAGCTCAGGGTGGATCACAACGTCACCACACAGTCTGAGCACAAGGTCAAGGCCACAAGGCCAGCTCACAAGCAGGAGGAGACACATATATATATAAGTCTAAACAAGCAAGAGCAGGTATATATATATGCAAGAGTACAAGCAAGGTCAAGAGGTGAGCAAGTGAGGCAAGACTGGAACAAGTCCCAGCTGAGTGCAGAAGCGCAGATGATCACAAGGCGCAAGTGCCTTGGTGAAAACATCAGCAGTGTTGGCCTCAGAGGCCACGTACGCCAGTCGCAACTGACCACGCTGCTGCAGCTCATGAGCAAGAAAGTAGCGGAGAGCGATGTGCTTCGTTCTGTGCTCCAGGCGCTGCTCTCGACACAAGGCCAGCATGGCCTTGTTGTCTACGTACAGCACTGGAGGAGAACGAGGCGGCTCTCCAAGGTCAGTCAGCAGGTAGGTGAGCCAGCGAAGCTCCTGAGCAGCCATGGCCCCGGCGTAGATCTCAGCCTCACAACTGGAGCCGAGAACCGAAGACGAGCGAGTAGCCCGCCACGAAACAGAGCCGGAACCAAGACTGAAGGTGTAACCCTGCGACGACCGCTGCGTAGCCTGGTCGTCAGCCCAAGAAGCGTCCGCGTGCCCAGTGAGGACCACTGGACTCCGCCCTCCAAGCACTAGCCCCATGCCCGACGTACTGCACAAGTAGCGCAACACCCTCTTCGCTGCAACCATGTGCTCTGGTCGGTGTCTCCCAGGAGCAACATAGCGTGCCAAGATGCTAAGAGGGTATGCAAGGTCAGGTCGTGTGCAGGTCATCATGTACATGAGGCAGCCAACAAGCTCTGGGTACGGGCCACTCGACTCTACGGACTCATCCGAAGGCAGAGCTGAGAGCGAGTGGCGAGTAGGCAGAGGAGTGGCCTGAGGCGAGGAGTACGTGAAGCCGAAGCGCTGAAGGACCTGCTGCACCATGTGTGACTGAGTCAAGGTAATGGTGCGGCGTGCTCTGTCCCGAGTGATCTGCAAGCCAAGGTAGCTGCGCAGTTCACCCAGGTCTGTGCACGTGTGTCTCTTCTGCAGCTCGGACTTCACGTAGGCGAGTCCAGCAGTGTCCGCTGTGGCAAAGACCAAGTCGTCGACGTACACGCGGATGTAGAACGGCGGCAGAGAAGTGTCGGTGCGCAGAAACAACGACGGGTCAGCAGTAGAGGGAGCAAACCCAAGAGCCGCAAGCGTAGTCCTCAGTGTGTCGTGCCACTCACGCGGTGCCTGGCGGAGACCGTAGACTGGCCGTCGGAGGCTCCACTGGGTGCCAGGAGGGAAAGTCCCAGTGAAGCCAGGTGGACGGCGCAGCCAGATCTCCTCGTGCAGGCCACCCTGCAAGAAAGCAGTGCTGAAGTCAAGAGAGTGGAGCTCGTAGTCGCGCTGAGCGGCTATGTGCAGCAGCACCCGAAGAGTGGTTATCTTCGGGGTGGGAGAGAAGGTCTGAAAGTAGTCAACTCCGTGCCGCTGACTGAAGCCACGAGCGACGTACCGCGCCTTGAAGACACGTGGAGAGCCCGGCGGCCGCTTCACCCTGAAGATCCACATGCCACTGACGATGTTCGCCCCAGGAGGGGGAACCGCGTCAACGTAGGTGCCTGTGGACTTCCAGGAAGCCATCTCTGCATCCATAGCTGCCTGCCACTAAGAGGAGTAGGGACCCTCTACGGCCTCCGCGTAAGAGCGCGGAGTTGGGATGTCTAGTGCATCCGGGTCTCCCTCAGGGGCAAGCAGTACAGACGCGAGATGAGGTGAAGCAGCAGCCAGACACTGAAACTCCTCCTGCCTGTCCTCAAGGACGTCCGTGCCAAGAGCACACTCACCCCCGACGGACGGAGGACAGACAGACGCAGACTCAGCAACAAGACTAGCAGCGTAGTTTAGACGACAGCGAGCAGCAAATTCGACTAGCTCGGC